GGAGAAAGGCAGCCATTTCTTTACGGTGATTTTTGTGACACGAGTGGAGGTCGAGGGCGCCGTAGGCGCCCCGAGACCGGAACGAGTGTCACAAAAATCATCGTAAAGAAATTGGCTGCCTTTATTCTCGTGTTACTTACGATATTTTTTATTCCTAATGCACAAAAGCGGCGATTTCAGATAGCAGACGACAGGGAGTAAAAGTCATTCACTTGTTCGATTTGTATGAAAATGGCGGCCGATTTCTCCCTTGGGCAAGAAAAATGCATGTGAACAGCTAATTTTCTTGCCCTTGGGAGAACACGGCCGCCATTTTCATACGGTCGAAGAAATGAATGACTTTCCTCCCTGTCGGCTGCTATCAGAAAGCGCCGTTTTTGTGCATGTGGGATAAAAATTTATTTTTTATAATAATTGAAAACAATAACATCTGTTTTTTTGAAATTTTTAAAGTAAAAAAGTTCAAGGAGAAAAAACGTTTATTGATGAGTATTTTAAAAATTGGACTCCAAAAATCAGAATTTTTTTAAAATTTCTATTTTCTAGAAATTTGATATTTTCCACTATACTTCGGATAAAATAAAACAAATAAAAGTTTAGTACCAAAAATTGGTTCTAAATCAATATCCATTGTTGCAATGTAACAATATTTTTTACTGTGAAGACAAAATGTTGTTTTATACGCTAAAAGCCTGCCAAAAAAAAGTAAGACTCTCTAAAGAAACAGATTTGACTCCAGTAATTTTTTAAACTATATAAAATCGAAATAAATTGCACTTTATAGCAAAAAAATAATTACCAAAATTATATTTCATCGCGATATGTGGATGAAAAATCGAATAAGTCGCATTTTATCGAAAACAAAGAAAATTTTATCAAAATCGAAAAAAGTCGCAGTTAACATTAATCAATCATTTATTTCTTCATTTTCCGTAATTTTTTTCTCAACATTCATAGAAATTTCAGAAATATTATTAATTAATAAAATATTTGCATCAGATTCGAGTAAGTACTATTTGCAAGATAAGAAAGTGACTAATGAATCTTTTATCTAAGGTTTGCAATGGGCATCCAATTACTGCTTAACTTATACTACACTTTGCAAGTTTGTACTCGTTTTTTTCTCTCCCTTTTATTTTCTGCAGTGTTTTTATAATTCTAGTTTAAATATTTGTGTGTCAACTCTAGGTCACATCAACATTTGTTGTTAATTTGCAAATGTGAATAAAGACTGTAAATTTTTAAAGGCGTACTTTCGCATCGATAAGAAAGATGATTTAAAGTTCTCGCCAATTTTTTTTTTTTTTTTCTTTTCTTTTTTCTTTTTTCTAGATGGAAACGGTTGATTCAGAAAATAAACGTCTTTCCACTGACCTAATGAAAAATCCTATTCTCAGTTTCTTTGAAAGAACTTTTTTATACTTTAGAATTCATTTTCTCAACACACATGTTTTATGGAGAGGAAAAAAATTTCTATTCATTATTCTTATTATTTTTTATTTTTATTATTGAAATTAAATTTGAAATTTCTATTTTTACTATTCAAAAGTAAATTGGAATTTTTATTTTTATTATTGAAAGTAAAATGCAATTTTTATTTTTATTGAAACTAAATTGGAATTTTTATTTTTACTATTAAAATTAAATTAAATTTTTTACTCTCGTTATTAAATTGAAATTTTCATTTTTATTATTGAAAATAAATTGGAATTTTTTATTTTTATTATTAAAATTTTTATTTTCGTTATTAAAATGAAACTAAAATTTTTATTTTTATTATTAAAATAAAGTTGATGTTTTTATTTTTATTATTATTTTTATTTTTTATTTTATTATTAATTTATTACCTACTATTATTATTATTATTATTATTATTATTATTATTATTATTATTATTATTATTTTTGGAATTTACAAGTAAAATTATTCTCTAAAGAATTTATAATTAGTTATCGTAGTTCTTCAAAAAATAATTTATTCAAAAATAAAATTCAATTTATTATTTATTTATTTTGTTATTAAAATTTTTAATTTTCTGCTCTAATAAAATTATAGTTCATACTTGAATTAAAAAATATATTTTCTGATTAGAAATTCCTACTCTAGTGATTTTCTTTAAAAAATTGGAATTATAAAAATGAAATTTGACGTTTGGAAAAGTATTATTATTTATTATGTATATTATTAATTTTTTCATTTCCCGTATTACTTATTATTATTTAGAAATATAAAAAACCAATTTTTTATTACAGCAAATAGTAAAGTTACTTTATTTATCATTTCACCCCAAATTGATTCGGTCTATTTTTAGAAAATTCGAGCACTTTGTTAGTAATGATTTACTATCTCCTTATGCAGTCTCATTGTATTAAATTTGAATTATATAAATTATTTCAGAGCTCCTATATAAAATTATTACAACTGTCAAATTTGCCGTTTAACTTTATTAGGCACTCGACTTTTAAATTAGAATAATAAATTACGGAAAATTGGATAAAATAATAAGAAATTGTACCGTATAAAAAATACTTGGAGTAAAGGGATCAAATCGACTATAATTTAATATTACTATAATAATAATTCACGAAATTCTACAGTATTATTTAATACCATACAATTTAGTACGAATTCATTAAATCGTACAACTCCGTTAAGTGACAATAAAATATTCCCTTTAGATTAAAAATATATATATATATATATACTTTTGCCCCGGATTATTCTCCACTGTACATATACTTCATTAAATATTAAACTTAAAAAATTGGTTAATCACAAATTTATGGTTTAATCGGTCTTTATAATTATTGTAATATAAAAACCACTGCATAATAAATTTATTGAATATTTTCATAATAAATTTACACAAAGCTATTCAAAATTACAAAAAATTTGATTGACTGAAATTCATTATTAAAAAATTGTCTCTGTAGAAAATTCAACAACAAAAAAAATCTTTTGAGTTCAGTGAACTTTTATATGTTGCTGAAGACTCTCACAGAGTATCGTACATACTTGAATATTTTCAGACGATAATTAATATCGCTCTTGTATGCAAAAATTTCCAACTACGTATTATATTTTTCAGTAATATAATGTTCGCGTTGAAAAATTCTCTTTTTTAGGTAAAAACAAAATTTAATAAAACGTTGAAAAAAAAAATGGAAAATTAAATTAGATATTCTACCTCTCTCAGGCATAATAGTGGAGTGTCTCTTTTAGACTTTTAAGTCTAGAAAAGAAAAACAACACTTGTAGGTAAATAATTTATAAAGTTCACAAGTACAGATGGAAAATGGTTCACGAAAGCTTCAATTTTCATAAATAAACAGTTGACTTATTGATATAATATCAATGTTGTATATAGTTTCACTTTTAAAACTTCACTTTTTGAAATATTATTTTTCACTTTTTTTGAAATATTCCGAAAAAAAATAAAAAAAAATAAAAATAAAAATAAATAAATAAATATAATAATATATTAATAATAATATTAAACGTGTGTATCTACAAAAATAGTATAAAAAACATTTGGTCTAAATATTTTCATTTAGTCGAAATATTTAGTCTAAAAATTTTTTTTTCAAAGTATTTTTAGGTAATTTTCCATTTTTATAAATTATTTAATATCATAATGTATTATTATTGCATAATTATTCTTTTATTTAAATTTTTTTTGAATTTTCTTAATTGTTCAATTGATTTTTTTTTATTATTCTTTTATTATTTTTTAATTATTTTATTATTTATTTCGATTATTCTTTTGGATTTTATTAACTATTTAATTGTTTCGTTTGCTTAATTGTTTAGATGTTTAATTTTGATTCGAATAATTGACTCAATTTGAAAAATTGATAAATTCATAAATTGATATTAAATTATAATTTCCAGACATTGCTCTGTCATTTTATCAAGTCAAAGAATTTGAATAAAAATTGTTCTTCCCTCTGCTTGAGATTTACCCCAGTTATTTTTCTCTCAGTGTGTTTATTTTAAGGATTGACAGAGACCTTGTCTCCTCTACTTTGTAAACTAATTGAATTAATTTTCCGAAAATATTCCCACCCCGCAAATACTTTATTCACCGAAAACATTTTTAAATCCTATACTCGATTCTTTTTTCTGCATTGTTTATTAATAAATAAAATTAATAATTATATAACAAGTTTCTTCTCACTCTATATATTTATGCCCTTGTATCTCTTATGAAACATAAATACATTCAATTGAAATACAAACAGTAGAATTTAAATTATTCATGCAAATAAATGTGCATAACGAGAAAAATTTATCTATATAAAGAATTGTTTGATTCAAAATTATTATTTATTTACATCTAATTGTTTATAGTTTGTATGAAAATTAGTTTCTAAAATGAGTTTGTTTATCTAAAAGTGTATTTTTTTTGCCTTTCTTTTTCTCTTTTTCCTTATTTTTTTAGTTCTATTTTTTTGTATTTTAATTCCAAAAGGACTAGAATAAAATAAGAGTAAATATAAAAAAAGGAATTTTTGCTTTTTCTTTTTGTTTAATTCTATTTTTGTTTTTTGATTCCAAAAAGAGTAGAATAAAATAAGAGTAAAAATTAAACAGAGTTTTTTGTTTTTCTCTTTTTGTTTTTCTATTTTTTGTTTTCTAATTCCAAAAAGACTAGAACAAAATAAGAGTAATAATAAAAAAGATGTTTTTTTGCTTTTTATTTTCGTTTTTCTCTTTTTTAATTCTATTTCTATTTTTTTAAATTCCAAAAAGACAAGAGTAAAAATTGAACACAGTTTTTTTGTTTTTCTCTTTTTTTTTGTTTTTTAATTCCAAAAAGAGTAGAAAATACGAGAGTAAAAATTAAACCGAGGAGGATTAAATCAAGAGAGTGACGATAATTATAGTATATCAACAAGCTTGTATATAAACAAACAAGTTCAACAATTGTTTCACAAAAACAACACAAACCGCCGATCAAAGAACTACTACAAACTATAAAAAACAGAAAAAACACTCACAATTTGATGAAGACCTTGAGAGATGAGCGTTTCCCAAATTTGGGGCAGCACACCGGTATTTTTTTGACAGGTGTCAGTAGGGCAGCATTGCTTCATTGTCCAATTGGAGCTTTCGCTGGTTATCATTTGCTTCCTAGAATCCTTATCGAGTGAATTTGGATTATTCCTCTCAATCAACACTCGACCATCGAATAACGAGAATGTCAAATGATTTCTTCCATTTTCTTGCCTTCCGATTCTTTTGAACCTGATTAAAAAATTGATGAATGAACTTTATGAGGAGAAATTTTCCAACCCGCATACACACGGAAATATCAAGTTTTTGTTACGGACGTAGCCCGCTTTCTGTATTCAGTAGCTGGTAATTCTTACATTTTATCAGAGGGAGTCGAGAGAGTCGCGACGGTCGCCATCTGCGATGCGCACACGCTGTAAGGGATGATCGATCAACCCTCTCTGCAAATGCAACTTCATTCCTCGAGCAGACACGATAGACTTATCTTTAAACCTGCTTTTATCAAAAATCTCCAAAAATTTGTATTAGAAAAAAAATGAGATCTTTTTTTTTAATTTTACTCTCAATAGAGTGTAAATATTATGCGCAGGTGTTTTTTTTTTGTATTGTTATACGAGAAAAAGTTGAACGATGCTCTACAAGAGAAGCATCATTATTTCCTAAAAACTCATTAGTTCCAATTTCAAGTGGATCGAATTTTATAAGGTCAAATATTTCTCTGAATTTTTACTTATTTTTCTGATAATAAATTTCAATAAATAAAATTCGACCATTTTGTCTGATATCACTATGAATTTTACAATTTTTCCAAAAGCTAATAATAAAAGTAGACAAAATTGCATGATAAATAAATGAATAAGTAAATATAAATAAAAATGTTATTTTGGAAATTAAAATTTTCAAAAATTGTCCTTCAATTAATAAAAATTTTAATTTTGCAAATTATTCAACTCTACAAGGAATGGAACGTAGAGTTTGTTCAAAAATCGACTACACCAAAGTTACGAAAACATTTTCTTGAAAATTAATCCTTGTCTGAATATTTAACTATTTTTAATCAAATATTAGACAAAAAAAAATTATCAAAGAAACATTGAGATTGAGAAAAAAGTCACATTTCGTTTTTTGTAAAAATCAAATAAATATATTAAAAAATATTTACTGTAACTGCATCAACAGCGGCGATATTTTAAAGTAATTAAAAAAATATCTATAACAATATTTACATGCAATTAGGAATATTTAGATAATTGCAAATAATTAATATAATAAAATTTAGATAATAATTTCAATTATTATATTATCACATCTACTCTGTCTGGAACAAAGTTGTTTTCCTCTGAAAATAAAAGAAAAATCACTTGTTTGTGTAAATTTTAAAGAGTTTTTTTCTTCAAAAAATATTATAATCTCAGACCTCGGATCAATTTTAAAGCTTAAAAAACTTCATTTCAGTAAAAAAAAAAAATCAAAAAAGTCTTTATTCAGAACTGCCAGAAAAATTTTATTTTCTATTTTCTGGACACTTCACTGATTTCTAAATTCAATTATTCAAAACTTTAATAATATTATTTTACAACTGTACGCGTTCAAAAATTAAATTATTCTCTACAATTTTGAACAAGATTTTTTCTCTAAATCAATTATTTTTAATAATTTCCTGAAAGCTCTTCGAGAATGCAATTATTTAAACACAAAAATTCAATTTTCCATATTAATTGTAACAGTAACTCTTCATGGTCTTTTTTTTGAAAAGTTATTAAAAGTGAATTATTGAAAATTTTCAACCGAAAATATTAAAATAATCGATTTTTAAAAAAATGTAATAACAAAATTTCTATAATTAATTTATTTAAAATATTTAAAAATAATTTTTGAAAGATAATGGATTTTTTGTCACTTATAATTGAAAAAATTCCACATAATTAAAACTCAGTAAAACCTTTTAAAAAATTGAATTTTTGAAAAGTATAAAAAAGATAATCAAGTTTTTGAAGAATTTTAATTGTAAAATTTGTAAAAATTCTTAAAAAAGTTTGAATGAATTTTAAAAAAATTATAATGAAAGCAAATTTAGAAATTACTATTTGAAAAATGTTTAAAATAATTTTATGAAGCTAATTTTCATTAATTTTAATTTTCAAATTTTTATTTGGAAACATTTCATTACAAATTTTTATAATTCGATAATTATTTTCGAAAATTTTGCAATTAAAATTCTTCAAAACTTGATTCACAAAAATTATTAATAAAACAATTAAAAAAAATATTCATCATAAGAATTCAATTTATTTTTAAAATTTATTAAAATCTTCGACAAAATTCAATTATTTTTAGGAATTTTAATAAAATTCATTGGAAAATTCAATTATTTTCATAAATAACAATATTCATCACAAGAATTCAATTATTTTCAAAATTAATTAAAATTTTCGATAAAATTCAATTATTTTCAGGAATTTTAATAAAATTAATTGCAAAATTCAATTATTTTCATAAATAAGAATATTAATCACAAGAATTCAATTCTTTTCAAAAGTAATAAAATTCAATTATTTTCAAAAATTTTAATAAAATTCATGGCAAAATTTCAATTATTTTAAAACATTTTTCTTAATTCAAAGATTTTCAATATTCTACTATTTTAATAAAATTTCCCAAAAGAATTCAAATATTAAACAAAAATTTTGATAATATTCTACACGAATATTCAATTATTTTCTAAAAAAAAAAATTTCACTTGAATTCAATTATTTAAAATAGAATTTGCATAAATTAAAAAAAAAATAAAATGTCTTAAAAATATGTCATTTAAATCCTTCGCAGTAATTCAATTATTTTCATTAATTTTAAAATTTCTTTCAGGGAAAGCAAATTAATAATAATAATTTCAAATTTACATTTGGAAACATTTCATTATAAATTTTTAGAACTCAATCATTATTTTCAAAATTTTGCAATTAAAATTCTTTAAAATTTGATTTACAAAGTTTTTAAAGAAAACCTTAAAAAAAAACCACTTATTTTCGTTTAAAGTTTAGAAATTTTAATTGTTTAAAAAATTTTTTATATTTCAAAAAATCAATAATCTTAAAAAAATCATTCAAAAGTAATTTTCGAAAGATTTGACTAGTTATTTTTCATATTATAAAAATCAAAATAAATTGCATTTTATACCGCAGAAAAGTTATATTTTGTTGCAATAATTAGAAGAAAAGTAAAAAAAAGTCGCTTTTTTTGGAAACTGTTGAAAAAATCGAAAATGTCGAATTATCCGAGGCCTGTAATCTTCTTTTTTTACTTTTACGGGTTTTTCCTTTTTTAAATATATTTTGGAAAATAGAAATAAAATAAAATATTGGAAATAAAAATTAGAGTTTAAAACTATTGGACTTGTTAGAAAAAAAATAATAATAAAAAAAATAAGAATCTAAAATTGTGAAATAGTGGATAATAAATTATATGTTTAAAATTGTTTTTTGCTGTGACAGTTTTTGGGTAGAATGAAAGTTATAAAAACGTAAATCAATGCGTAATAAAATCAAATCCACTTAAGGGTTTTTGTGGCTGAGAGCTACAACTTTTATTTTTAGAATTTCGAACTTTTATATCCGCGCTCTACTCAACCCTTTGTAAGTTCTGAGAGTGAATAACGTTATTATGGGATTTTTACGAGAGTTAAAATTTGATCATTTACCTGAAAATATCTGTGACAGGGTTCCCGATCTAAAGAGATTGGCTGTTTCTGAATCATAGCATGTCAAAGTTTTTTTCGCCTCATCGCACCATTTCCACAATATTAACTTTTGCTTCCTCATTTCCAAATCCATATGCAGAAGTGTTAAATTCTTTGCAACTGTCGTATCAATTCGCGTTACATTTCGTCCATCTAGAATAACAGGTATTGTCTCCCGTCTTCCATCGCACCTATAAAAAAACAAATTTTTTTATTTCACTTTCTAATTACTTTTAATTACTGCAATTTCTAATTACTAAAAGTGATTATTTGGAAGAAAGTTTTTGAAAATAGTTTGCATCGTCGGTGGAACATTTACAAAAAAAAAAAGATAAACTTCAATCTTCCTGTATAGATAAATTTTTCCTGAAATACTTTGAGATTGAATTTCTTTGAAAATTTACGAAACGACGGCTTTCTGATAAATTTCCAACTATCGATATCGAAAGGTTGAAAACTAAAGTTAGAACTCACCAAGACATGACTTGTTCTCTCAAATATTCAGCAGCCGGAAAGCTCAATGATTGCTTCGGAGATACAAAAAGAATAATTAAACCATCAACTGTTCTCTCCTCGATAATTAATCCCGGCCTCGCCGTGAAATAAAGCAGCAACATTAAATTTATCGTGATTCCAGCGAGCATCCCATATTCAGGACCAAAAATTAAAGAGCACACCAATGTGACCGTCAATGGAATTATGTCAACCTCTGTCAAGGGGAAAAAAATAGAAATGACAAAAATGCCAATATAAAAAAAAATCTCTATATCCTTTGAAGAAAATACACCGTGTCTCTCATATTATTCATCATAGCAGATTCTGCTTTGACAAAAAAAAATCTATAGAAAAAGTTTAAAATCAAAATGTAGAAACTTTTTGATTTCAAACTTTTTCTATAGATTTTACACTCAAAAACTGACTTCTTTGTTCATTTGATTATTTAATTACCATAGGGTTGCCACAGGTCAAGGAAATCAGGGAAAAGTCAGGTATTTATTAAAAATACTGGATAAAAAATTAAATGTTTAGAATTTAAAAGAAAATTCTGAATTTTTGTGACTTTGTTTGCCTCATAAATTATGAAATTACCACGAATTTTAAAAAAAACCTTAAATTTTTTTCTATTTCTAACAATAATTTATTTTAAATAACTTAATTCTATTGAAGAGCTGCCATAAAGTTATTACTTATAAATCATTTAATGAAGTATTTTTTTTTAAACATTTAATTTCAATTAAGTTAAAATTAGATTCAATTTAAAAAATTTTAACGCATTTCTTTGAAACAATTCAACTATATTAATAAATATCTAAATTCTTTCCAGAAATTCAATTATTTTCAAAAATTTTTTAAAAAATTCTCGTAAACATTTTAATTATCGTTATAATTATCAAAACTCTTTGCCGAAATTCAATTATATTCAGGAATTTAAATAAAATTCATTGCAAAATTCAATTATTTTCATAAATAATAATATTCATCAGAAAAATTCAATTATTTTCAAAAAATTATAAAATTTTTTGACAAAATTCAATTATTTTCATAAATAACAATATTCATCATAAGAATTCAATTATTTTCAAAATTAATTAAAATCTTTGACAAAATTCAATTATTTTCAGGAATTTCAATAAAATTCATTGCAAAATTCAATTATTTAAAAAAAAAATAAAATTTTTTGACAAAATTCAATTATTTTTAGGAATTTTAATAAAATTCATTGCAAAATTCAATTTATTTTCATATATAACAATATTCATCATAAGAATTCAATTATTTTCAGAATTAATTAAAATCTTTGAGAAAATTCAATTATTTTCAGGAATTTCAATAAAATTCATTGCAAAATTCAATTATTTTCAAAATTAATTAAAATCTTTGACAAAATTAAATTGTCTTCAGGAATTGTAATAAAATTCATTGCAAAATTCATTTATTTTCATAAATAACAATTTTCATTACAAGAATTCAATTACTTTCAAAATTAATTAAAATCTTCGACGAAATTCAATAATTATTTTCAAAAATTTTAATAAAATTCATTGCAAAATTTCAATTATTTAAAAAAATTTATCATAATTAAATGATTTTCAATATTTTACTATTTCAATAATATTTCCCAAAAGAATTCAATTACTTTAAAAATTTTTTAATAAAATTTAACACAAACATTCAATTATTAAAAAAAAAAAAATAATTTTACTGGAATTCAATTATTTAACATAAAATTTGTATAATTTTTTTCGAACCAATCAAATGTTTTAAAATTTGGCATTAAATTCTTCGCAGTAATTAATTTTTTTTACATTAATTTTAAAATTCCTTTCAGGGATTTAATTATTTCCGTAAATAATAAAATCATTCAAAGGAAATCAATTATTTTCATAAATAACAATATTCATCAATAACAATTATTTTCAGAAATTTTAATAAAATTCATTGCCAAATTTCAATTATTTTCAAATAGTTTTCTTAATTCAATAATTTGTATATCTATTATTTTAATAAAATTTCCCAAAAGAATTCAATTGTTTAAAAACAATTTTGACGAAAAATTCTAATTTTCTAAAATAATGAAAATTTCACACGAATTCAATTATTAAAAATAGAATTTGCAATATACATTTTTTCAAAATAATCAATTTTCTAAAACTTTTTTTAAAATTCTTTGCAATAATTCAATTATTTTCATAAATAATAAAACTCATTGCAAAAGTTCAATTATTTTTTATACAATTTTAACCGAATTCCTCGAAAAATGTAATTATTTTTAAAAATGTTATTAAAATTCGTCGAAAGAATTCAATTATTTAAAAATATGTTGATAAGATTATCTATAAGATGAAGAATCCAATTTTTAAGAAATATTTAATTGTTCAATAAATTATCTATGTTTGTGTTTAAATAATTGAATTTTCGTAGAATTTTCTAATAAAAATCGATTTAAAACTGAATTTCAATTAAAGTTTTAAACAATAATTGAATTTTTGAGAAGTTACTAATAATTGCAATTTTTAGAAATAATTGAATTTTGTTAACGTTTCAAATTAAAATTTTTGAAAATTTGAATTTTTCATACTTTTAATTAAAAATTCTATAAAACTAATTTTTTTCAAAAAGCTTAATCCAAATTTTTCAAAATTATTTCAAGTTTTATTTTCTAATATAATATATTTAATTGAAGAATTTCCGAATAATCGAAATTTCGTAAAATTGAATTGTAAATTGTAAAGAAGAATGTTATTCAAAAATTGTAGAAAATAATAATTGAATTAAAATGTTGAAAATAATCTTGAAGAAGTAATTATTATAAAACATAAAGAAAGCGATAACTCCGAGTCGAAGACTCGGAGTTATTACTTTTTTCATGTTTTATAAAAATATTCTCATAAATTGTTGAATTTCAAAAAGATTTGAATTTGAAATTTTAAAAATCTTAATTCCCTTGGAATAATAATAATGATTAAATATTTATTTAAATAAGAAGTCATTGACGTTTTCAGATAATTTCACAATTAAAGAAATTCGTAAATAAATGTAACAGCACATTTTTTTTTTTTGAGTATCTAATAATTTTTAGAGTGAATCAGAATATTTTTTAGAGTCAGGGAAAGAGTCAAAATGTTGTCTGAAAATCAGGGAAAAATAAAATAAAATTTGTGTGGCCACCCTATACAATTAAGACCAAATGAAATTTGCGAATGTCAATCTTACCAATGTGCAGAAAAGTAAATAAATTAATTAAATAATATGGAATAATGAAGTAAAATTGTAATTAAAAAAAAAATAAATAAATTTTGAATTTATAATTTTATGTACAGAATTAAGTAAATTAATGAAATAATATGGAAAAATAAAGTAAAATTGTAATTAAAAGAAATAAATAAATTTTGAATTTTGAATAATTGAGAAAAATAAACTTTTCGGCTCACTTTTTGTTTTCCACAAAACGGAGAATATGTGAAATTCCAACATATTGTACATGGCAAAGATAATAACAGCAGCAAGCGTTGCTTTTGGAATGAATTTGAAGGCTGATGTTAAAAGACCACAAGCAAGAAGAACTATACTTCCGGTGACAATTCCGCCCATGGGTGTCTTAACACCTGAGGCATAGTTGACAGCTGTCCTCGTAAAACTACCCGTCACAGGCATAGATTTCACAAAGCTCCCCATGATATTACACAGGCCCAGTGCTATCATCTCTTGGGTGGCATCTAACGATCTTCCTTTTGCTGCAACAAAAAGATTTATTCAAAAGAAACGAAAAACTTTTTGTCATCGACAATGCGAAAACAAGCGACACTATGAGACATCTACAACTTTTTTTTTTAGAAAAGTGCGTTTTATTTCCGCACGGTGCAGAACGCGGGCAGACAGAGTTGCCATAATCTCAAAACTAGTAAACAAAGGAAATAAGACAACAAAGTTAAATTAAATTTTTTAAATTGTCCACGAAATCTATATTAATAATCGTTGTATTCCGGTAATCTGTTCGCAGTTTGAAGTTAGTTGTTGTTTGTTTTTTTATTTCCCAACATTTTTAATAATTTTTCCTTTTAAATATTTACAATTTTAAAATTAATGTCATGAAAATCATTGAATTCTTGCGAAGAATCTTACAATTTATAAAAATAATTAGATTGTTTTGAAGAATTTTATCATATAATTTTTGAAAATAATTGAATGTTTTGAAAAATTTTTATTAAAAATGTTCAAAATAATTGGATTCAATCGAAAATTTTTATTAAAACGTTTAAAATAATTCATTTTTCTTGAAAATTTTATAAAAACTGTTGAAAATAATTGAATTTTATTTAATACTTTTAAAAATAATAAATAATTTAATTCCTGCGATGAATTTTACAATTTAAAAAAATAATTGAATTCCTCCAGAGAACTTTATTATTAATGAAAATACCTGAATTCCTATAGAGAATTTTACTACTTATAAAAATAATTGAATTCTTCCAAAGAATGTTACTGTTTATGAAAATAATTGAAATTTTGCAAAGAATTTAATCAAAATTTTTAAATATAGTTGAATTCTAGAAATTACTTAAAATTCTGAAGTTATTCAATTTTTCAAGAATTTTATTGAAAAATTGACATAATAAAATTTTTATAAACAAATTGTGTCATTATTTAATTTTTATAGAAAAAAATTCAATATTTTACAAGAACTTTCTTAAAAATTTGGAATTAAATTTTTAAAATATCTAAATTATACCTACAGACAATTTTAGAAATAATTGCATTTTTGAGATTAAATCACCTTTAGAATAATTTTTTAAATACATAATTGAATATTGGAAAGTATAATTGAAATTTCTTAAGTTTTAAAGAAGATATTTGAATATTTTTCAAGAAATTTATTAAACGTTTTGAAAATTTAGGAATTTTTCAAGAAATTTTACAGAAAAAACATTTTGAATAACCAGAAGGAAACGAGATGGAAAAAAATTGAAATAATTGAAAATAATTGAATGTTTGCAAATACTTTACTTTTTAGATAAATAATTGAATTGTTTCAATGGATTTATTCAAATTGTATTGAAAATAATTCAATTCCAGCGAAGAATTTTATTACAGTACATTGTACTTAATAAGTCAATTTTTTAAATTTTGATTATAAATTTATCAAAAAATTTTAATTTGATAATAAAAAATCTTGTAATTTGCATTTAATAAAAAAAAAATAAAAATAAAAGACAAATTTTTCACTGAAATATAGAAAATCTCTTTCTCCTGAATATTCAAAATCTTCCAAATCTAACTTACCGAATGCTTTTCCAATGGCAATGCTTTCCAAAATTGCAATAAACGGCACTGATGCGATACTACTGCCGAGCGTTGTTGTCATATCCAAAAATGTGTATGTTTTATTGTTGAAAATTGTGGAAAACGGCGGCGGTGAAAACGGTGGCAGTCCCTCAGTTATATTTCCAGTTATTTTGAATGGAATGGAATTATTCAATGAAAATGAATAAGCTATAATGGTTCCAGTTATCACGACAATGGCGTTTCGACTCAAACTTAGAAGCCACAACACCTTCTCAAAAGATGAACCAAACTTCTTCCCAGGTAAGTTCTTCATTTTAGCCAGATTCAAACAAAAATAACAAATTAATAACAAAATTAAAATTCAATAAATCAAACGTATAATTATATTCAATCTTTCGCATTTATAATTCATAAAATCTTATTTTCCTAACTATCTTGATAATACTTACTTTAAGCTCATTAATATTTCCGAATATCAATTTTATGAAATAAACTCAACTAAATTTACGAATGTAGATAATAATTAATTTTTGGCTTTATTTAATTCAAATAAATTAATTAATAATGAATTATTATTGACACAAATTAATTATTTTTGATACAGTTATAAAATATATTTTTATATTTGAATATAGTTTAAAATTAATGTATTGAAAATCATCGAATTGTTGAAAAGAATTTTATCAAAAAATTTAATAATAATATTGAACTCCTTCGAAGAATTTTTTTTTGGAAAATAATTAAATTCTTTCGAAGAATTTTATTACTTAAAAAAAAAGTGAATTCTCGCGAAGAATTTTGTTAAAATTTTTGAAAATTCTAATTAAATTCTTTATGAAGAATTACTTCGATTTTTTTTTAATAATTGAGTTTCTTTAATAATTTTAACTAAAAATTTTGAAAATAATTGAATTTTATATGAGCAATTTCTTTTTAGTTTTTAAAATAATCATGTTTCTTAATAATTGAAATTAAACATTTAATTATTGAATTTTATTAAAATTTTAGAAAATAATTGAATTCTTTTGAAAAAATTTATAACGAATAAAGAAAAAAATTGAAAATTATTTTGAAAATAATTGAATTTTTGCAAAGAATTTTACCATTTATAAATAAAATTGAATTGTTTTAAAGGATTTATTAAAATGTTAGAAAATAATTGAATTTTTTTTAAAAAATATTATTAAAATTAAATTTTTGCTAAGAATTTAACTATTTATTAAAATAAAATTGAATTGTTTCGAAAGATTTATTAAAATTTTAGAAAATAATTGAATCGTTTAAAAAAATTGTATAACAAATTAAGAAAAAAAATTGAATCCTTTCGTGGAATTTTTTTGAAAATAATTGAATTTTTGCATAGATTTAATAACGAATTAAGAAATAAAACTGAATTCTTACATGAAATTTTTTTGAAAACATAATTGAATTTTTGCAAAGAATTTTACTATTTATAAATATAATTGAATTGCTTACAAGAGATTTATTAAAATTTTGAGAAAAAAGTTGTATTCGTTCGTGAAATTTTATTAAAATTTTGTTTAAAAATAATTGAATTTTTGCAAAAAATTTACTATTTATAAAAATAATTGAATTCTTACGAACATGTTATAATTTATGAAAATAATTGAATTCTTGCGAAGAATTTTATTAAAATTTTTGAAATTAATAAACAAGATTAATTAATTAGTAAATTAGTTAATAATTGAATTTTTTGAAAGTTTGAATTTGAAATTATTCAAAAATTTCGTAATTTGCTTAATAATAATAAATTGAAGACTACGTTCCACGCGTAATATTTGCTAGTAATAATAATAATACTACAATAATTGATAATAGTATAGAAGTTGCTATTCCAATCGAAAAAGATTTTTATCAGTGAATTTTAATTATACAAATATCCTTATTAGTTATTTATATTTACTATAATATTGAAAATTTATCAAAACGAATAGACATTTATTTAAAGAGTCTCTCAAAAGATCACAAAACTGATACAATCAGTATCACTTTTATAATCTTTTTAAACAATATCCATATAACAGATAAGAAAGTAAAATCACGAATTGATCATTTAAATACAGCAAACACTACAAAAAAGTCTTATTTTGTCAGAATGAAATAGCAATTTTAATTTTGATTCGATATCTCCAAAATATCACCTTTTTTTATTGCTGACAGTAATCTTTAATTACTGCTGACTTAGAATGATTTACAAGAAAGTATATTTATACGTAAAAACATGTTTATTATTCCTGTTCTCGACAATAATTATTATCTTACTAATTTACGTCACTTTTCCTGACATTTTTTTCACTTTCAATTAGATTTTCTTTATCTTACTCAAAAATGAGTTCGTTTTTTTTATCTTAAGGTCATGTTATTCAGTGGTCACGTGTTCCCATAGTAAAGTATATGGAGCACGTGACCACTAAATAACATGACCTTAAAAAGTATAAAAGATTTTACCTTTAAGCCAAATAGGGCCATAATGCACAGAATTCCTAAAGTTGTGTCCCACAATTTTATTTCGGAAAAATTATTCACTAATTTCATCACAGCATCATAGACGGACTCGCTCCTTCCGCTGAGTCCAAAGAGGGTTCCAACTTGTGAGCATCCAATTATTAGTGCCGCTGCATTTGTGAATCCACAGATTACAGGCATACTAATGAAGTCCACGAGAAATCCCAAATGAAAAACGCCCATTAGAGTTATTAAACATCCAGTTAAGAAGCAGAGGAGAACCTAAAATTTCAGGAAAGTCTTTTTATTCTTTCTAATTCTATTTAATTCTAAATTAATTTTTTAATTCAATTAGTTAATTATCTAATTGAATTCTTTAGAGGGAAAATAGAAAAGTTAATAAATTATTAGAGCAAAAGTAGAAAAATAAATAATTCAGAGGGAACAATAGAAAAATTAATAGATTACCATTTAGAGGGAAGAATAGAAAGATAAATAAATTATTAGAGGCAAAAGTAGAAAAATAAATTATTTAGAGAAAAAAATAAAAAAGTATGTAAATTATTAGAGGAAAAATGGAAAAATAAATAAATTATTAGAGGGAAAAATAAATGAATAAAAATTTTCTTCCCTGGACAATTTTAATAATTACTTACGGCAACATCTGGACCCATTGTCTTTACATACGGCAAAGAAAGAAGAGCCATTATTGCAGTCGGACCTACGGTAATATCTTTACTGCTTCCAAAAAAAAGATAAACGAAACACCCCATAAAACTGCTGTAGAGTCCATACTGAAACATAATAAATAAATATTTTCTTAATAATGAATCAAAATTTATAAATATACTAGAAAATGTTACGCGCGCTAGTGCGCGGAACCTGATAATCAATTTACTATTATTATGCAAATTAAAAAATTTTTTTGTTTTCAAATATGAAATTTTTAATAATTTTAGATTCAAGCTTTAAAAAAATTCAATTATTAACTAATTTACTAATTAATTAATCTTGTTTATTAATTACAAAAATTTTAATAAAATTCTTCGCAAGAATTCAATTATTTTCATAAATTATAACATGTTCTTCGTAAGAATTCAATTTTTTATAATTATAGTAAATTTTTTGCAAAAATTCAATTATTTTCAAAAAAATTCCACGAAAGAATTCAATTTTTTTCTTAATTCGTTATAAAATTTTTCAAAAGAATTCAATTACATTTCAATTCAATTTCATTTAAGTAAATAGTAAAATTCTTATCAAAAATTCAATTATTTTCTAACATTTTAATAAATCCTTTGAAACAATTAAATTTTATTTATAAATAGTAAAATTCTTTGCAAAAATTCAATTATTTTAAAAAAAAATTTCATGTAAGAATTCAATTTTTTTCTTAATTCGTTATAAAATCTTTGCAAAAATTCAAATTTTTTAAAAAAAAATTTCATGTAAGAATTCAATTTTTTTTTCTTAATTTCTTATAAAATCTATGCAAAAATTCACGAAAGAATTCAAGTTTTTTCCTAATTCGTTATAAAATCTTTGCAAAAATTCAAATTTTTTAAAAAAAATTTCACGAATGAATTCAATTTTTAAAAAATTTTTAATAATATTTCTCAAAAAAATTCAATTACAAATTTTATTACATACTTCAAAACAATTCAATTATATTTATAAATAGTAAAATTCTTTGCAAAAATTCAATTATTTTAAAAGAAATTGACGAAAGAATTCAATTTTTTTTCTTAATTTGTTATAAAATCTATGCAAAAATTCAATTATTTAAAAAAAAATTCCACGAAAGAATTCAATTTTTTTCAAAAAAATTCACGAATAAATTCAATTTTTCTCTTAATTCGTTACAAAATCTATGCAGAATTCAATTATTTTCAAAAAATTTCACGAAAGAATTCAATTTTTTCTTAATTCATTATAAAATCTTTGCAAAAATTCAAATCTTTTAAAAAAAATTTCATAAATGAATTCAATTTTAAAAAAATTTTTAATAATATTTTTCAAAAAAATTCATTTATTTTCTAAAATTTTATTACATACTTTGAAACAATTCAATTATATTTATAAATAGTAAAATTTTTTGCAAAAATTCAATTATATTCAAAACAATATTTTTTTACGAAAAAATTCAATTTTTTTCATAATTCATTATAAAAAATTTCAATAGAATTCAATTATTTTCTAAAATATTTTAATAAATTCTTTGCAAAAATTCAATTATATTTCTAAATAATAAAATTCTTTTCAAAATTCAGTTATTTTTAATACAATAAGCCTAATTTTAATAAAATTTCATGAAAGAATTCAATTTTTAATAGTGTTTTTCGAAAAAACTCAACTATTTTCTAAGATTTCAATAAATCCTTCGAAACAATTCATTTATATTTATAAATATTAAATTTTTTTTCAAAAATTCAATTATTTTCAGAAAAATTTCACGAAAGAATTCAATTTTTTTCCTATTTATTTATAAAAAATCTTTGCAAGAATTCAATTATTCTCTAAAATAATATTAATAAAGATCAATAATTAAATGTTTAATTTCAATTTTTAACAGACACGATTATTTTAAAAACTTGAAAGAAATTGTTCATAAAATTCAATTATTTTCAAAATTTTTAATTAAAATTATTGAAGAAACTCCATTATTTAAAAAAAAAAATTCAAAGAAATTCTTCAAACAGAATTTAATTAGAATTTTCAAAAATTTTAACAAAAGTCTTCGAAGGAATTCTATTATTATCAAATTTTTTGATAAAATTCTTTGCAACAATTCGATGATTTTCAATATATTTTAATTTTAAAATTGAAAATATTTAAAAAGCAAAAATTAGTAAAAAAAAAGTTATTAAACAAAAAACCAAAGAAGCATTTCCAATTTTTGTTGAATTAAAAAAGTTCCTACAACATTTTTTAAATCTCCGGGTATTAATAAAGAAAAATTAATTACATTTTTAGCTGTATGTAATTGTAAAGTCCTAAAATAATAGTTTTCGGAACTGAGGGTCGACGTTAACTTCAGGGGCATGAAAAATTACTGCGACTTTTACAAAAAGCAAAAAAAAAAAATTAAACATTCAGAATCTTTGTAATTTATTTGTTAAGTGACTCAATATTTCTGCAATGAAATTTCCACTTATGGGCATTTGAACAATTATTACGTCAAAGTTTTAAAACACATGCTTTGCACAAATCGTGACGTCATCTTTTTGTACAAAAAAACTATGTTCGTTCCAAAAAGTTTCTTATATCGTTTCTAGAAAGTTTCATTTCTGACAAATATAACGTTCCAAAACATTTTAAGAACATGGATGTTTCAATAATATTCTAAAACATTATTTCGCGGAAATGAAACGTTTTTCGAACGAACATGATTTTTTGTCCAGGGGAATAATGTTCAAATGTCCTAAAAGAAGAAATAAAAAAAATTGATTCAATTTCAAAGTTCAAAACTTCAGAACATTAGAAAGATGTTTTTAATCACATTATATTATATGTAATTTGAACTTTTTCGTAAAAAATAAATCGACTATATAATAGTGAAGAAATTATATAGACAGTTTGGGATATAAATACAAAAATCATTACTCTTGTAAATGAAATGAAGAATAAATAAATTGTGTGGTAAAGTACATACATACAGTGTACATACGGTTTTACGGATTATTGAAGAAGGAAAGTAATGAAAAATCAGATAATCAGAGTGTGTAAATATAAACACTTACCTGAGCAGGTAATCCCGCAACTATGGCGTATGCAATTCCTTGAGGAATAACTGTCAAACCGACAGTAAATCCTGCGAGACAGTCCTGCAGGAATTTATTGATGGAATAATTGGGAAGCCACGCAATAATTGGAATCCTTCGCCGAAGGACATCTTTCACGTCACAACGTGAAGATGTTTTCATTTCTCTTCCTGTAAATACAAGAAAAAAAAATATAGATCTAGCAAAAACTATTTCATACTGTTTAAAAAGAATAAAACAATTTTGTAATAATTCATAACCTAATGTTACATTTTTCTGTATGATTCTGCTTCTTGAGTCATGAGGAATCTACTGTTAACTAAAAAGTTTTAAATTGCAACGAATTAATATCCAAAAATGTGGATCAAATCAAAAATTGATCTAAATTTTTGCTATCAATTTGATCCAGTTTAGTATCAATTTGTCACTTTCAAGAAAATTGGGTCTTTGTATGTCTTACTGTACTGAGAGAAGAGTTTGATTTTGATAGCAAAACATTCGGTTGGTATTCGAGAAAATATTTTTCTTATCTCAGTAAAATTTTGATTTGTATTTAAAAAATCAAAACCAGGGTGGTCAAGAGTTTCAGTTTATCAATTTCCCTGACATTTCCCTGGCAATTTACAGACATTAAAATTATTTTCCCTGACAAAATTTTTTTTACAGGAAAATATGAAAGTTTAAATATAATAATAATTTTCCGAAAGTTCTTCGAGAATTAAATTATTTAAATACGAAAATTCAATTTTTTATAATAAATTATAACTGTCCATGTTTTTTTCTTCAGTTTATTAAAGGTATAATACTTATTTTCAAAAAAAAATAATCAAATTTTTGAAGAGTTTTAATTGTAAATATGACCATGATTTCTAAGAAATGTTAATAAGTCCAAAAAAGTAAATTTTTATTTGCTTTATTAGAAGATAATTAAATCTTAAAAAATTATGATGAAACATTCTAAGAATTAAGTAGTTTTTAAAAATATTTTAATGTAATTTTTCGAAAACAATTGAATATCTTAAGAGTTTTTGTATTATTTAAAAAAAAGACTCATTATTTTTTTGATAAATTTTAATGAAATATTTTTAAATGATTTTTCTAAAATGTTAAAAATAATACTAAAATGTTATTATTTTTTGTATGTATTTGAATTTTCGTAAATTAACTATTAATAATTTGAATGTTCTTTCATTCACTTCTTTTCATTAAAAGACTAAAATTTTGTTAAATATTATCTTTTGTCAAATTGAAATTATGCAGATTTTTGTTCTATAAGAAAATTAGAAAATTGTTAAACAACTGTGATTAAGAAATAAAAAATTTATTTATTTTGCATTATTTTTCTTTATGAATCACAATTTTTTTAACAAAATTATTATTTTGTTTTAGAAAAAGAAGAGAAATATTTGCACAATTCCTATTTTTAATCTTATTTTTGGAACAGGATTTTCCACAAGAATTAAGATATTCAAAAATTTCAAATTCAAACCTTTTTTAAATTAAACTTATAAAAAAATTGTTATAAAACTTGAAGTTATCAAAATGCTCCCAGTCGAAGACTCGGAGTGATCGATTTCTTCATGTTTTCTAATAAAACAAAAAATCTTTTTTCCTGACTTTACTGACAAAAATTTTGTTTTACTGACATTTCCCTGAATTTACTGACATGTGGCCGCCCTGAAAACATGTTTTTGTTGCATCAAGAAAATCCAAACTGATTGGCACGAACAAAAAGTTTCTTTCTTCTTCTTTAGTTATGTCAAACAAATTTTGGTTTGGACAAAAACAAAAATATTTTTGTTGCTTGAAACTAATTCGTTGTCAAAAATTTGATTGTTGACAAACTCAAAGCTAAACTCTTTTCTCTCAATCAGTTCACAATTTTTCTAAGGATATCAAATTGAGACAAAAAGCGAATTTGGTTAAATTTGGTTAATAAATATTGTGTCTTTTTAATTTGAATTGAAACTGAAATCCGTAACGTTTTTAGAAACGAAAACAAAAAAAAAGACGAATATTTCGTAATTCATGTGCATTAAGTATAAACACCGAAATTATCGCAAAATACTTTAAATTTCATATAGAACTTTATGATGCAATTATAAACACACATGAATAGTTATTAGAAAAATAAAACTATACATATACTAAACAAACAAACAAAATTTTCTTTGTCATCAAAAATTGAACTCAATATTCCTAAACGAGATTTATATTTATAAAAAAAATGTCTACACAGTAAAATTTTCAATTTAATATCACAAAAGGAATATTTTATATCAGATAATAAATTCATTTGTGTTCCTCGTTCGAAATGTCTAAATTTTATTATACTTTATATATATATGAAAGAACATTTCCTGAAATCGCACTGAAAATTTTATCTGCACTGTTTATATACAAATCGTAACATAAAAACCCACTTTTTCGTAACAATAACAAATATTCCTGTTTTGAAGCAAAATTGACTGTAATAAAACCCCCAAACGAAAAAAAGAACAAACACTATATTGTTTTCTCAATAAACTTACAAAATTTGTGAAAATCGTTTTAACAGTACTTATTATGACATAGTTTTTCAGAATAATTTCCAATTAAACGGACATTTAATTTTTTCCTTAGATTCACTGTCTTTTTTTTAATATTTAAATGATTTGAACATTTAAAGAATTTTCAATTTTTTTTATAGACACACTATTTATATACGAGAAGCGTCAATTCGACAAATCGACTGCTCGCTACGAAAGTTAATTAACTACTAATACGATAAGAGAATGAACCAAAACTGATAATGGTTAATTATCTACAACGAGATTTCTGTTTATAATCTCCTGTAAGATAAAGACTTAATTATGAAAAATTAATTCTCATCTTCCTATTATTTTGTCACAATGTAAGAAAAAAAATTTGTTACGATCATTTTTATCCTAATTACATAATGACATTCTCTGAAGAAAGGTACCTGAGAAGTGAAACATTTTAAGGTTATGTTTATCAATTTTACCTTACTTGAAAGTTTTTGTGTTTAAAACAAAAATGGGTTTTTATCGAATATTTTGGATCTAATGAAGAGTTCATCATTCAACTCTTCATTAGATCCAAAATATTCGATAAAAACCCATTTTTCTTTAAAATTAACACTTATTAGACACTGCTTCTTCCTTTCTTCGGAGCGTGTCACATATTTCGAAGAAATCACTGAAAAAAAATACTAAAATAGAAAATTCATTCGCCTTCTAAGGACAATTAGATTTAGCTAACAATTCTGAAGAGTAGTCCAAGCCAAAAAAAAATCTCATTAGTAATATATAACCTAAAAATTAAGCTACCTTTCGGAATCAAAAGAAGAAATTTTCCTGAAAATACCTCTCGATTTTCCTCGCCATAAGAAAATTAGCCACCCTTTTCCTTGACATTCATAGTTTCTCAATTTTGCCCCTCGTGAGTCACCAGAGTCACTTTAGCGCTTTTCAAATATCAGAATAGGGACAATGAGTGCAAAAGAGAAGTTTCTCCACTCTCTCTCTCTCTCGCTCTCACTATCCCCTCCCCACTCTAACTCTGCTTGACTCTAAAATCGAAGTGTCGAACCAGTCGCAGTTTGCTTTTGCCCATTTAGTTATTTGAAATGTGTGCTTGACAATTTCTTTCCTCAGGCCTACCCGCGTACCTTTTTTCTGAAGGAAGAAGACAAGAAGAAAAAAACTAAAAGGGATTTTCGACCTTCCAACTTTATTGCGAGACAAATAAAAATTTCCCCGCATCTTAAAGAACAAGTTTCCCCTATGGTTTTGAACCTCAAGTTGATAATAGATGCCGATATTTGAAAAGGTAAAACTATTTTACGGGTTTATGGTGCTATAAAGTGGCGACTTTTTATCCACACAGGCATCTGTTAGGCAGTTGGTTGGTTTTTCGGCTGCAAGGCGATATAAATTTCACTTTTTATCACTTTAGGTAAACAGTCAACGATATAGACTATAGTTTTAAATGTTTGTAATTCGGATGAATTAAACGAAAATTCGATGCAGTGAGAATAAAATTGTACAATTAGTCGCATATTCTGCTGTAGAAAATTCAGCTAGCTTTGAAAGTTTGGATTTTTTAACTCAAAAAATATTTTTATGCACTGAACTTTTGGCGTCGAAAACTATTATTCGCAGCGTTTGGAGATGAGAATGTCGCTAATTTCACTTCTTTTATTCACCACTAGTATTAAATTAGTTTCTGGGGCACATTTCAAATCTGAAATCTTTGAAAAAATAGTTTCCTTTAGCTTTCACTCCAAAAGGGTATGACTTTTACAATGGAAGGCATTTCATTTCAAAATTTAATACACTAATAGCCCAGATTATTAATCCTATATAGGCTATTCGATTTCTGCTACAAAATATTAATAGCGTTCGTAGTAAATTGCCACAGGAGAGGAGAATAAGTTAGCTTACAATTACATTAATTTCTGTTGGTTGGAACAATTTATTAGTGACACTATTAAAATTTTGTAGCAGACATCATATAGTCCAGGTTTAATAGTCTACAGATTAATTTAATAAACATGTTTATTAAATTTTGAAATGAAATATTTCTACAATCGCATTGGGAGCACTGTTAATTTAACAGTATCAAATTGCAACGAACCAAAACTGTGGATCAAATCAAAAATTGATCTAAATTTTTTGCATCAATTTGAACCATTTTAGTATAAATTTAATATCTACTTTCAAAAAACTGTCAGGGCTCGAACCAGTGAAAGTATTTAAAAATACAGACTTTACGGAATAAAAATGAAAAATAAAGGACCAATTACTGACAAAAATATAACCACTCCGAGTCAAATAAGAGAACATTTTACTTAAAACAATAAATTAAATTTTTTGTAACTATAAAACATGAAGATATCGATAACTTCGAGTCTTTGACTCGAAGTGATCAATTTCTTCCTGTTTTATAATAATTAAAGATGACCGAGTGATAAAATTATTATCAATTCAATTATTATTTTCTAGAATTTTTAACTAAAATTCTTCTTTAAATCGATTATTTTTAATAATTTTCGTAAACGTTCTTTGACAATTTTCTAATTCATTTGTTTACAGTATTCAATTTTATGAAAACTTTTTCAAAAAAATGAATATCAAAATTCAATTATTTTTAAAAATTCTCGCTATATTGCTTTTAATATTCAATTATTATCTAAAATTTTAACTGAAATTAATTTTTATATCAATTTTTATTAAAAAATTCTACTATAGAATTCAATTATTTTTATTAGAAAATTCTACCATAGAATTCAATTATTTAAATAAAAATAAAATGCAAATAAATAATTTATTGAATAATTAAATGTTTTCTAAAATTCAATTCTGATAAAGAATTTTACCAACAAATTTTTAAATAATTGAATTCTATCGACGAAATTTAATAAAAATTTTAAGAATAATTACTGAAAAATAAATTTATAGCTATGAAAAAATGAGATAACTCTTGAAAATAATTGAATTTCTGCAATAATTTGTAACTTTTCCAAAAATAATTTTTTTTTGTGTTTTTAACTAAAATTCTTCTATAAATACATTATTTTTAATAATTTTTGAAAAAGTTCATTGAGAATTTTCAAATTCTACATCAGAATTGTAAGTTAAAAATATGAAAAATTCAAATTTTCAGAGATTTTAATCTGAAACCTTTTCAAAATTCAATTATTTCTAAAAATTCAAGCTCTAATGTTTTTAATATTTAATTATAATCTAAAATTTTAACTGAAATCTGTTTTTAAGTCAATTTTTATTAGAAAATTCTACTAGAATTCAATTATTTAAAAACAATAATAAATAATATATTGAACAATTAAATATTTCAAAATTTTTCCAAAATTATTTGGAAAATCTTTCTTGAAATTTAATTCCCATAAAGAATTTTATTAACAAATTTTAAAAAAATTGAATTCTTTCGAGAAATTTGATTAAAATTATATTAAAAATAATTTAAATTCTACGATGAGTTTTATTACTTGTGAAAATAATTGAATCCCTAAGAAGAATTTTATTATTTTTGAACAATATTTGATTTTTTCGAAGAATATTATTACTCTTGAAAATAATTGAATTTCTACAATAATTTGTAACGTTTACAAAAATAATTTTTTTTTGTTTTAAAAAAAAATTCGCAATTATACTTTCTCAAGAAAAATTAATTCTACAGAATTGTTAGTTAAAAATATGAAAAATTCAAATTTTCAAAGATTTTAATCTGAAACCTTTTCAACATTCAATCACGGAGAAAAATATAAAGTAACTTTTACTACTTTTATAGTAAAAAATTTCCGGTAAAGCATTTCTGGTAATTTTTACTACTTTTGGAGTAAATTTTGCTACGTTCGAAGTAAATATTTGTAAAAATTAGTAAAATTTACTTCGAAGGTAGCAAAATTTACTCGAAAAGTAGTAAAAATTACCAGAAATGCTTTACTGGAAATTTTTTACTATAAAAGTAGTAAAAGTTGATTTATATTTTTCTCCGTGATCATTTCTAAAAATTCAAGCTCTAATGCTTTAAATATTGAATTACAATCTAAAATTTTAACTGAAATACATTTTTAAATAAATTTTTATGAGAAAATTCTACTAGAATTCAATTGTTTAAATACAAAAAAAAATGTATTGAATAGGTAATTACATATTTCTTAAAATTGAATTCTCATAAAGAATTTTATCAATAAATTTTTAAATAATTGAATTCTTTTGACGAATTTTAATAAAATTTTTAAGAATAATTACATTTTTCAAGGATTTCGATTAAAATTGTATTAAAAATAATTAAAATTCTGCTCATGAATTTTATTATTTATGAAAATAATTGAATTGCTAAAAAGAATTTTATTATTTACGAAAATAATTTAATCCCTGTGAAAATTTAATTATTTATGAAAATAATATTGAATTATTAGGAAGAAATTTATGGAAAAAATTTGTAAATAAAGAAATTCCTGTGAATTTTTTTTATTTTTTGAAAATAATTAAAGGTTTGTGTAGAAATTAAAAAATTTTTTTTAAATAATTCAATTCTTTTGAAAAATTTTATTAGAGTAGTAAATACCTATTAAAAATCATTGAATTAAGGAAAATTTTTAAAAATAATTGAAATTTTGCCAAGAATTTTATTAAAATTTTGGAAAATAATTGGATTTCGGAAATGTATTTAATTATTTCTAAAAATAATTCAAATTTTGATGAGAATTTAAAGAAATTTTTGTACATAATTGAATTTCTGCGAAGAATTTTATTACTTTTGAAAATAATTGTATTTCTGCAATCATTTGTAATTTCTCTAAAATTATCCAAATTATATCGTACAATTTACGAACGGGAGTTCGAGCCCTGAACTGTGAGTCAAAATTGAACTCCCTTTTTATAAAGACAATTAATTACAGAATTTAATATACTATAATAGATATAGTATAAATTTGAAAATAGGATATACTTGACAGCTTCTCAAAATTTAAGAAAGAACAATTTCACCCAGATATCCATATCATTCTATCGCTCTGCACCTGTTTTTCCTTTTCCCAAATAAATATAGGATGTTTATACATATACATGTACGTGTTGGCTACGTGCACAAAAATGGGAAAATAAAAAGTTTACAGCACCTTTTCTGCACCTTGATATAATAAATTTTCTTCAAACTCTACAATATATGTATTAGAGTAGTATTCTTTTTATTCAACACACGGAAAAAGGAAACGAAACAAAGTTTTT